TATTATAATTAAATTTGACTGGATTGTTATCCATCGCTGGTTTGTTTTTAGCAGAGAGTGGCCTGTGCATGCGCAAAGAGGGTACCGTTTCAGCAGATTTCGCAAAGAGGGTACCGATATGGATATGCACCGTGAGTATGTACAAAACAGTTTTCTATATACAAAGTTTCAAGCAAAGTCATCTTAATGTCACTTAGTAATGGTCTGTACAGAAAAACAGGATTGATTGAAATTAGCAAAGCATCTACTATTTATAGATCAAAAGAGAATATACCTTTTACTGTGTAAATTCTCTGCTATACATGAATAGGCCTATATTCATATGTGTTTTGTTTAAATAGGGAAATCTTTTTAAATTTTGTACAAAATGTTTCAGACAACTTTTCATTGTTCTTGTTTATATTTATATGAACATTTGAACTGGTGATAATGTTTATTTTCATTTTTAAAACTTTAATTTGTATTTTCTACAGTACAAAATGTAATTTTAAATTATGATGGTTTTTTTTTACAATAAAACTAAAAAAATTCGACATTGGTCTTGATGTAAATCTTTTGGTAGATGCAAACAATTTCAGAAATTAGTTCCACGTTTATTGTAATACAGCATTTTTATTAAAAGTTTTTAATTCCTGTGTTTGAGTCTGTTCTGCTAATTTTGTTGAGCACTCATACTATAACATAGTCACTGTATCATAAGAATAATTGAAGCTGTTTTTTTGTCCTGAAAAGAAAAGAAAAGAAAATGTTATAAATCACAAGCTTTACAAGATAGTGTGAAGAGAGAAGATGCATTATTACAGTTGTGTTTGATTTTATAAGTTACAATGACCCCAACACGATCAAAATCATGCTAAAGAATTCAAAATTTGCTGTGTGTAAATTTTTAAATGAAACCGTGAATCTCTCCTTTAATGTTACATGAAAAGATAAGACAAACATTAACAAATAAAGTTTCAGTATTTTTACATGGATGCTGTAGTTGTTCATAAAGAGCAAAAGGATGGGACCACAAGTATTAACAACATAAGAGAGTTGGCCCCTTCCTACCAACAATTTAGTTGTTTTGTACAGCTGATTTACCTGAACCACAAAATCCACGAAATTTAATTCCCACGAATATAACAAGCAATTATCATAGTATTGCAAGCAATCCATAAGTCCCCTACCGGTTAGAACCCCAGCAACTTTCTGATGGGCCATTGGCCAGTCAATTTTACCAGTGAATGAATGACATGAATGAACTTAAATCTTTTGAGTTCTAAGTTTGTCTATATCACAGTAATGTGTTAGTTTCCCTGCCTAGTAAGGAAATTATGAATTATGTTTATACAACCTTGTCATATTATTACGATGTGGGATTTTAAAGTAAATCCTATAAGGAATGAAGAAGTTGGAGTGAAAAATAATGGGAAATTTTTCTGGAAATAGTCTTGCTAGAGTATTTAACCTCCTCAAAAATGTTGAGTGATAATAAGAAACATATATATGAAGTTTGAAGTAGATACATTAGGAAATAAAGAAGTTATTTAAAGAAGACAACATTTTTTTCATAAAAATTCTAAGTTCGAGGGAGGTAATACTGATAATTTTTGTGCTAGAGTTGTAAACCTTGTCACATATGATGTGGTTGATGACCAGAAACTTATATTTAAAGTTTGAAGTAAACACCTTAAGAAATAAAGAACTTATAGTGAACTAGAAATGTGTCATCATGCCACGGATGCCCCCGCATGCAGCCAAAATTTCAGATGGTGCATTAATTATTTTTTTCATTTTAAGTTCAAAGCCCTTAAAACTTTTCAATGTTAACACTAACCATTTTCATACAATGTTCAAGGCACTGAAATAATTCAGTCTTAATCTTTTAAAAATAGCATATTGCATATTTGTAGCCAAAATAATGGCTAAAAGTACTGTATGAGTGCTGAAACTGAAAGTTCAAAATTTTTCCAACATTCAGGAAAGATAAGTTTGTCTATAATTATTGAACCACGACCAAATTCAAACTTAAACTGCTTATTCCTTAGATGTATTTATATTATTTTCAAAAAGAAAGGGACATAACTCTGCCAAAAAATCATCAAACCATGACCAAATTCCAACTTGACCTGCCCATTCCTTTGACATATCCATAATGTAAAATTTAAGTTGAATATGTAACACTGTTGGGTAAATAATGAACAGAAACTGTAAATTTCATATTATTTTCAAAGTGAAAGGGGCATTATTCTGCCAAAAATCATTGAACCATGACCAAATTCGAACTTGGCCTGGGCATTCCAAAAACATTTCCATATGTCAAATTTGAGTTGAATGTGTTGTACCATTGGGGAGATAATAAATGGAAACTGAAAATTTCATATTATTTTCAAAGTAAAAGGGGCATAACTCTGCCAAAAATCATCGAACCATGACCAAATTTGAACTTGACCTGTATTTTCTCATGACATATCCATATGTCAAGTTTGAGTTGAATGTGTTGTACCATTGGGGAGATAATGAACAGAAACTGAAAATTTTATATTATTTTCAAAGTAAAAGGGGCATAACTCTGCCAAAAATCATCGAACCATGACCAAATTTGAACTTGACCTGTATTTTCTCATGACATATCCATATGTCAAGTTTGAGTTGAATGTGTTGTACCATTGGGGAGATAATGAACGGAAACTGAAAATTTTATATTATTTTCAAAGTAAAAGGGGCATAACTCTGCCAAAAATCATCGAACCATGACCAAATTTGTACTTGACCTGTATTTTCTCATGACATATCCATATGTCAAGTTTGAGTTGAATGTGTTGTACGGTTGGGGAGATAATGAACGGAAACTGAAATTTCATATTATTTTCAAAGTAAAAGGGGCATAACTCTGCCAAAAATCATCGAATTATGACCAAATTCGAACTTGACCTGTATTTTCTCATGACATATCCATATGTCAAATTTGAGTTGAATAAGTGCAACCGTTCTTAAGATAATGAACGGAAACTGATGATGAGGGAATGATAGAATGACGAAAGGACGGAATGATGGAACAGGGTAACACTATATGCCCCGGCCATTACATGGCGGGGGCATAAAAAGCTGAAAAATTTAAATCAGAAATCTTGAAAAAAAATTTATTTGTTGCCATAGCAACCAGAATTTTCAACATTATGAGGAAGAAAAAAAAAGACGTGCATAATCTCCATACTGCCATCTATCCATATATCAAGTTTCATAAAAATATTTTCAGTACTTTTTGCGTTATCTCGGGATCCAATTTATGTGTTCAATTTGCCATATTTTCAGGCTATTTGTTGCCATAGCAACCAGAATTTTCAACATAGGAAGAAAAAAAAGACGTGCATAATCTCCATACTGCCATCTATCCATATATCAAGTTTCATTAAAATATTTTCAGTACTTTTTGCGTTATCGGGGGATCCAGTTTTGTGGACGGACTGACAGACAGACGGACCGACAGACAGACGGAGGGTAAACCTAAAGTCCCCTCCGGTTAAACCGGTAGGGGACTAATTAAATGATTTCACAGTAAGTTAAACTCAATTGTTTCTATGCAAGTCATTGGTTACAGAAGTTTGTTACTATGGAAAGTCAATAGTTACCATAACTCAATAACAAAATGCGGGTAGGTGAAAACAGCAATCATGCAGTGCTTGTCAGATGTAGCAGGAGCGTTAAAACAGTCTTGTACACACTATTTTTTGACAGTTATAGAATAGTGGCCTGTGTCTCAGGGTCGGAGAGGGTGTGTCTCTCGAACATTTTACCGTGACCATGTTATTACTGTTGTAGTTAATCACTACATTACAATGAAGCCAAGGTCTGGGGTGCGCAGGATCATATTACTCCATGATAATGCACCTGCCCACCGGTCAGCCTTGGTTCAAGCTAATTGACAGAAGCATATTTTCAGGCTATTTGTTGCCATAGCAACCAGAATTTTCAACATAGGAAGAAAAAAAAAGACGTGCATAATCTCCATACTGCCATCTATCCATATATCAAGTTTCATTAAAATATTTTCAGTACTTTTTGCGTTATCGGGGGATCCAGTTTTGTGGACGGACTGACAGACAGACGGACCGACAGACAGACGGAGGGTAAACCTAAAGTCCCCTCCGGTTAAACCGGTAGGGGACTAATTAAATGATTTCACAGTAAGTTAAACTCAATTGTTTCTATGCAAGTCATTGGTTACAGAAGTTTGTTACTATGGAAAGTCAATAGTTACCATAACTCAATAACAAAATGCAGGTAGGTGAAAACAGCAATCATGCAGTGCTTGTCAGATGTAGCAGGAGCGTTAAAACAGTCTTGTACACACAATTTTTTGACAGTTATAGAATAGTGGCCTGTGTCTCAGGGTCGGAGAGGGTGTGTCTCTCGAACATTTTACCGTGACCATGTTATTACTGTTGTAGTTAATCACTACATTACAATGAAGCCAAGGTCTGGGGTGCGCAGGATCATATTACTCCATGATAATGCACCTGCCCACCGGTCAGCCTTGGTTCAAGCTAATTGACAGAAGCAGAGAACTGAGGTTTTGCTCCTATCCCGCTCATAGTCCTGACCTCTCTCCTTGTGACTTTTGGTTAAATGTATACATCAAATCTTATCTTCGCAGTTCAAAAAATGCTTTTTTCGGAATTGATTCTGAGGCCAGAAAAGTGTAGAGGTCCATGGTGAATATTTTGAAGGACTCTACTAACCATTTTTCACAGGTTAAATTTATCTATAAAAACGCGCTGCTGTTGCCACTAATTATATGCCCCTTATATGATAGTAAAAATAAAAAAAGGCTTTATTGTTTTAAACTCTATCACAGAATTGCACTTGTTTTCTTAAGTGACCATAACATTTTTACTATATGACAACTCATGTGAGATCATATATTCCTTCAAATAGCAAATTTTGCATTATAATTAAATTAACTTCTGTAAATAAAATTAAAAAAAATAAGAAAGTGTTGCATGTAAAATCTCTCACCTGTTAAACATTTGATTTTCAATGTCCTAAATCCATTTTGTATCCATCATTCCATTCCTTAAACAAAACACATGAGAAAATCTCTGCAATAAGATCTTTCTTTTTTTTTTTAAATATTCTTAATCTTTAATGTTTTTATTAATTCATATCATTCATTTAATTAATATATGAAACGTAGTTGTACATTACATCTACTTCAAATGTCCTCAAATTATGAAGTTATGTTTAACAATACATCTAGGGATGGCAACGAGTAACCAGTTAACCGAGTACTCGATCGAACGTCCGAATATCGGTTAACAAAATTGATATTCGATTACTTGGAAAAAATATATAATTTATATTTTTTTACCATTTTGAAAAATTGGTGTGTCCATTTTTCGGAGATATGCATTATCTTCATTAAATACCTGTTAAATGTAATCAAAACATCCTTGCAGAGGTGCGAAAATGATAGGCGATCAACGGTTGACACGCGCACATGTGTCGCTTATGTCATCCAGCTGTTATGATATTCAGTAACAGTTTGTAGCGGAAGTAACTATTTTGAAAACAACAAAGGGCCGATTGATATTATGAATGTAACAATAAGAGGAACTAGTATTTAGACCCCTTTTAAACTTTTGTTGCCGCCGATCAGTTTATATTATTTCAAGATGAAAAAAGATATATGAACTGTCATACTCGTTTTAAACTCGCTATTGCATTAATTAAAATGTTGTAAAATATGATGTTGTTGAATTAATTTTGATTAATTTGTCTCCTGTGCAGTCCTAAGTTACGAATTCTATTAATTTAAATAGAAAACGAAAGTAGCATGCGGACTGTGTTGATATTGTGAGATCATTGGAAATCATCCGAGTAACCAAGTACTCGAACGGAAAAATGACCGAGTACTCGAGTATTGATTTTTGTATTCGTTGCCATCCCTAAATATATCATTTTATTTAATTCTATGTTTCTATTTTAAATTGTTTCATTTAACATTACAATGTATTAATTGAATTAATTTCTTGTCTATTCCTTACTTGGTTTCCTAGTTTTGAACTCAAGTTTCCCAAACAAGACACTGTTTGCTATGACATGAAAAGTTTGTGATCTTCGAATATTTTCTCTAAAACGTGCATATTCTGTTTCCGGTTTGATGGCACGCGTCTCTACTGTCACTGACTGCGGCAGATTTTCCAGCACGGTAATAAAGTTCTGTAAACTTCCTGCAGACATTTCTATCCCTCCCAACACCACACGTTCAATATTCAACATGTCACGTGACAGTAACACTGAACTTTCATCTAGATTGATGAACGACAACTTAACATAAACTAATGACGGTGTTGATATATTTAAGTGCAGCCTCCCGGGTAAATGCCACAAGTGTAACTTTGATAGAGTTGAATGTTGAGACAAGTCCAAGTTCAATCTCTTACAATCATGGTCACCATGTTCTTTACAGTCTAACCCGTCCAATGTTAACTCTTTCATTGATTTTTGTCCGGAGATAAAATTGAAAAATGTTTCCAGTATTTTGTGAGATAACTTGAAGTCGGCAATATATAAATTTTGTAAGTTTTGTAATCGCGCCAAATTTTCACTCAGATTTTCTTTATCATTTGTCCATTTACCACGCCACAAAGTAACGTACTGTAAACTAGGAAACAATATCCGATTTATCTCAGCCTCCTCCTCCTTACCACTGTAGTAAAGTGTCTGTATATGACCGAGATCTGTGAGATAGAACAAATCTATAATTTCACGTAAACTGCTGGAAGAACTGCTGGTGTATATATATAGTGATTTTATGTTGGTTTTATTTTGTTTTAACAAATGTTGACACTGCTTACTGTGCATGGTGTGCCGGTCAATGAAGAAATCTTGTAAACATAAATGAATATATTCACTTTCAGGCATTTCTTGTAAACACGACATAAACATTTCCTGTATGTTATACAATGGATTATTGTACATCATCACTTCACCTGTCCTGGTTCTAAAGTCCCGCGTTTCCTCAGCTTCATTTATCACAGACATCAAATCATTTGATATTACACACATCCGGTCAGGATTCATTCCACTTATAAATTCACTAATTTTTGACATGTCCAGAATGTCTTGAACATTTCTACATTTTTCTTGAACAGCTTTCTGAGCCTCATTTTGAGAACTTATAAATATTGCAGCAAAGAACTCTTGAACTGTTTTGTGAGAAAACGATACTTTTATAATTTCTCTGATTAAAGTTTTACTTCTACTTTCTGACAGTATTCCTGAGAGAAGACTTAATTTCATGTTGTCTGCTCTGAGATATAAATCAGCAACCGTTCTATCAAATACCAGTGTATTTTCTCTTGTTTCGTTAAATAATGTTTGGTAAGCTAGTTCCGCTAATGATGTTATAAGACTGTAAAACTTTTTACAAAATTCATAACTTTTGAAGTATTCTGGAATTTCACTGGCAGACAATTCACGAGATGGTTGAAGTTCCGGGTTTTTCTTTGACGTTCTCGATAATAGAAATTCAATGATATTGGTGTAAATTTCATGTTTTGAATTTCCAATAGGAATGTTGTTGCACCATAGGCAAACTATATACATGAGGAGGAGTGGAATCACTTGCATGTGTTCTAGGCGACGGTCATGTATCACTTTATTGAAGTCATGTGTTTTAATCTTCAGTACTCTATCGTTATGAGCACCTGTCATTTTTCTAATAGCATTTTCTTCTAGTTGCCGCATGGAATCTGCACTTAATTGAACCAATTCTACTTTTTTGTTTATTTGACTTGTTTTGAGATTTGCAACTCCGAGCTTCCACGGTTGGGTTGTCGTTAGGATAACACAATTATCACGTCCGTACCGATGTGGGATTTTTTCTGATAGTTCGCAACAACTATTTACAGGGTGAGTCCATTCATCAAGACCGTCCAATATAATCAAGCATTTTTCTCTACCTAAAACTTCATATAGTGTTGCAGAAGAAGGGAGTTTATTAGTAATTTGCTGTTCAATCATATCGTCAATGTTACAAACAGAGGTACAGTCTCTTAAGAAAACCAAAAATACGAACTCAAAGTCAACTAACGCTTTCAACTCGCTGTTCTTAAAACAGGTGTAGTTTTCATCACGACAATGAGCTTGACACCACATGATTGCAAGATATTTTGAGAAAGCAGTTTTTCCAAAGCCTACATCAGCAGATAGATAAATTTCGTGCTGATCTCCACTCCCAGTTGAAAACAGGTCTCTTAAAGATTTGATCGGTGTTCTCTCCTCTTCATGACAAGTGAGGGACTTCTGTTTTACGGTGACCATATCTGGCATCACGTAGAACCCAGCCAGAGGTGTCTTTATTTCTTCAAGAAGCGGTGAGAGAGGTATTGAACTACACCTTTTTCTGTAGAATATAATAAGGTCGCCTTGTAGTTCTGAAAAACGAGTAGAAAAATAATGTTCAGTGACAGAAGTACTGAGAATATCCAAGCGCTTACTAACTTCAATGTTGTATAATTTTAAAAACAATTCGTATATGACACAGATAGAATAAATATGTTATAAGATATTAAATATGTTATAAGATATTTATATGTGTAACAAACTCATATGAACATGTACATGTATGATGTTTAAATGAGTGTGTAACATAACCAAACCATACAACAAACGGTTAGACTTTTCGTTTTCAAGTAACAAAGTATATTTATCGGTATATATTGTATGTATGTTACTTAACATTTTCTATCTTCATTTATTTAATCATAACAGAAGAAATGTAATTGATAACATTAATGTATAATCTAAACAAGAGGGCCAAAATGGCCCTAGATCGCTCACCTGACCTGTCAAACTCATCCGAACAATTATCTAGACAAGCATTCTGACCAAGTTTCATGACAGGTGTGTCAAAAATGTGACCACTAGTGTTAACAAGAATTATCCATATTTGAGCAGTGTGACCTAGTTTTTGACCCCAGGTGACCCATATTCGAGCTTGACATTCGAGCAATTACCTAGACAAGCATCCTGACCAAGTTTGATGATAACTGAGTCAAAAATGTGACACTAGAGTGTTCACAAGGTTTTTCTATTTTTAGCTCCTGTGACCTAGTTTTCCATCCGAGATAAATCATGTTCAAACTTATCCAAGCATGGACTTGACAAGCATTCTGACAAAGTTTGATGATGATTGGGTCAAAAATGTGACCACTAGACTGTTCGCAAGGTTTTTCTTTTTTTAGCTCCTGTGACCTAGTTTTCCACCCGAGATGACCCATGTTCGAACTCATCCAAACAATTGACTAAACAAGCATCCTGACAAGGTATCTTAATAATTCGGTCAAAAATGTGACCACTAGAGTGTTCACAAGATTTTTTTATTTATAGCTCCTGTGACCTAGTTTTTCATCGGAGATAAACCATGTGCAAACTCATCAAAGCAATTATCTAAACAAGCATCCTGACAAAGTTTGATGATGATTGGGTAAAAAATGTGACCACTAGAGTGTTCACAAGGTTTTTCTATTTATAGCTCCTGTGACCTAGTTTTTCATCAGAGATGACCCATATTCGAACTCATCTGCGCAATTATCTAAACAAGCATCCTGACAAAGTTTGATGATGATTGGGTCAAAAATGTGACCACTAGAGTGTTCACAAGGTTTTTCTATTTTTAGCTCCTGTGACCTAGTTTTTCATCAGAGATGACCCATGTTCGAACTCATCCAAGCAATTGACTAGACAAACATTCTGACCAAGTTTGATGATGATTGGTTCAAAAATGTGACCACTAGAGTGTTCATAAGGTTTTTCTATTTATTTCTCCTGTGACCTAGATTTTCATCGGAGATGACCCATGTTCGGACTCATTCAAGCAATAATCTAAACAAGCATTCTGACAAAGATTGATGATGATTGGGTCAAAAATGTGACCACTAGAGTGTTCACAAGGTTTTTCTATTTTTAGCTCCTTTGACCTAGTTTTCCATCCGAAATGACCCAGTTTCGAACTCATCCGAGCAATTGACTAAACAAGCATCCTGACAAAGTTTGATGATGATTGAGACATAAGTGTGACCACTAGTGTGTTCACAAGCAATTGTGGACGTACGACGGACGACGGACATTCACCGATCCTTATAGCTCACCCTGAGCAAGCTTAGGTGAGCTAAAAAAACAACAACAAAAAATAACAAAAGAAACCCAAAGTTTTTGTTTATGCACATATAAATTGCGAATTTGCTGCACTGTGAATTTTTGAGGTCGCTCACCTGTATATAGGCCCCCAACCCCCACCCCCCAACGTTGCAGGGCCAATTTAACCCAAGGGCTTTTATTTGCACAAACTTGGTAGACACCCATAAGAAGATGTTTCATGCTAAACATCTAAGCTCTAGCTCATTGGGCTTTTTAAAAGAAGATTTTTTTAAAGTTTTTACTATACACATATAGTTAAAAACAATGACACCCCTGGGGCCGGGCCAGTTTTGACCCCAGGGCTTTTATTTGAACAAACTTTGTAGACACTTACTAGAAGATGTTTCATGCTTAATATCTAAACTCTAGCTATTTGGGTTTTTTCAAAGAAGATTTTAAGTTTTTGCTATACACATATAAAGAAAATCAATGACCCCCGGGGCGGGGCCAATTTTAACCCCAGGTCTTTTATTTGAACAAACTTTGTAGACACTCACTAAAAGATGTTTCATGCTTAATATCTTAACTGTAGCTATTTGGGTTTTTTCAAAGATTTTTTAAGTTTTTGCTATACACATATAAGGAAAATCAATGACCCCCGGGGCGATGCCAATTTTGACCCTAGGGCTTTTATTTGAACAAACTTGGTAGACACCCATTAGAACAAGTTTCATGCTAAATATCTCAGCTCTAGCTCTTTGAGTTCTTTAAAAAAAGATTTTGTAAGTTTTTACTATATGCATATCGGGAAAATCAATGACCCCCTGGGGCGGGGCCAATTTTGACCCCAGGGCTTTTATTTGAACAAACTTGGTAGACACTTATTAGAACATGTTTCATGCTAAATATCTAAGCTCTAACTCTTTTGGTTCTTTAAAAGAAGATTTTTTAAGTTTTTACTATATGCATATAGGGAAAATCAATGACCCGCTGGGGCGGGGCCAATTTTGACCCCAGGGCTTTTATTTGAACAAACTTGGTAGACACCTATTAGAACATGTTTGATGCTCAATATCTTAGCCATAGCTCTTTGAGTTCTTTAAAAGAAGATTTTTTAAGTTTTTACTATATGCATATAGGGAAAATCAATGACCCCCCGGGGCGGGGCCAATTTTGACCCCAGGGCCTTTATTTGAACAAACTTGGTAGACACCCATTAGAACATGTTTCATGCTAAATATCTAAGCTCTAGCTCTTTGGGTTCCTTAAAAGAAGGTTTTTAAGTTTTTACTATATGCATATAGGGAAAATCAATGACCCCCTGGGGCGGGGCCAATTTTGACCCCAGGGCTTTATTTGAACAAACTTGGTAGACACTCACTAGAAGATGTTTCATGCCAAATATCTAAGCTCTAGCTCTTATGTTTTTTTACAAGAAGATATTTAAAGTTTTTTCTTTAGGTTGCCATGGCAACCAGAGTTCTGCATGGAATTAAATTCTTTGAACAATTTTTAAAGGTGACCACCAAAGGAACATTCCTGTGAAGTTTGGATGAAATTGGCTTAGTGGTTTATGAGGAGATGTCATTTAAAGTAAAAGTTTACGGAAGGACGCCGGACGAAAAGCGATCACAAAAGCTCACCCTGTTACTTTGTGACAGGTGAGCTAAAAACAGGAGTTACTTTTGACTCAGACATGCCTGGCATTTTTTTGTTTGGTTACAGTTTGGGGGCTATAATGTAAATGTCTTAGCAGGGAGACTTATTTTGTCGGCGGTGTCTTAAAGAAATTTGGACCAAATATACATGACATACTAAATTAAAGATAGTTTATAAAATGAGAGAAAAAAAATCAAGGGCTTTACAATATTTTCATTATCTGGACATATCAGCCTGTATGACAATCACATACATGTATTTGTTTATTCAAAACAAAAAAATAATAAGAAGTTCAGAAAATACATGCATATGTAGAAAGGAGTATATGAAGAAATATGAGAGTATAAGAAAAATGCTACAACATCTGCAGAGCACCACCCGATAGGCTACGCATTTTTTACTTGGGGACCATTATGCGCTTTTCATGGAATGGCATCTACATGTCACATTGAAGGTTCCATGATAACCGCCATATGAACACATCTGCGGATGTTTCAAAATTCCAAATGATACAGGTTCATGTTTAATGGTGAATTCTGCTTAAGCCGGTGCTAGGGGGCGTGGATGGTAGTTTGCACTTGACACTACCGTCCAATGAACAGGCCCAATCAAACCGAACCTGCAACATTTTCTATTTTGCCGTGTTGGGCTTTCTTTAGGGATTCTTATTTACTCTATTTTGTCTATATATTTTGTACATACGCATTAAAGAGCTCAAGTCAATTTGAGTTTAATAAACATAAAGGTCTTGTCCTTAAGAATGTTCTGTTATATTAATATGAAGTTGACCCATTAAATAATATCAAAGTTATAGCCAATTACAGCCAAAAAATGAAAATTTCAATAATTTGACCTCCAAAGTCAAGTTCATTTATAAGTGAAGGTCAAGGTCTGTCTGGTTATTTTAAGGGTTATCCTTGAAGATTATTATGTTCAAGTTTGAAGACAATCAATTCAAAAATAACAAAGTAAAAGCAAATAATAGCCTAAAAATGACAATTTCAATAACTTGTCCTTCAAAGTCAAGGTCATTTATGAGTGAAGATTATTATGTTCAAGTTTGGAGACAATTCATTCAAAAATAACAAAGTGACAGCAAATAATAGCAAGAACAAGCAAAATTTGGACATTTGACCTTGAAAGTCAAGGTCATATATGGATGAAGGTCAAGGTAAGGGTGGTCTACTGACAGGTCTTGTCCCAAGGGTTGTTGTGGCCAAGTATGAAGACAATAAATTAAGAACTGAAAAAGTTATGATCCAGGTACAAGTTTGCAAACAGCAACACCGCCAGGACTATAACAATACTAAAAACAAGAGGGCCATAATGGCCCTGAGGTCGCTCACCTGTATATAGCTCCCCCCGGGCCAATTTTTACCCAAGGGCTTTTATTTGTTTATTTGGACAGACTTGGTAGACACCCATAAGAAGATAAGCTCATTGGGTTTTTTAAAAGAAGATTTTTTAAAGTTTTTACTATACACATATAGTTAAAAACAATGACACCCATGTGGCAGGGCCAGTTTTGACCCCCGGGCTTTTATTTGAACAAACTTTGTAGATATTTACTACAAGATGTTTCATGCTTAATATCTAAACTCTAGCTATTTGGGTTTTTCAAAGAAGATTTTTAAGT